TCGCAGAACAGATAAGCTGCTGGTCTACTGCTGCCTTGATTAGTACGTTGGTTTGTGTTATTGTGTTACTTTGATTAGTTTGCATTCACAAAACTCACATAATATCAAAATTAAATAATGCAGACTTTTCTGATGTCCTTGGCAGGAGCTACAGATCAGTAAGAAACATTAACTGTAAAGCTGTCTAACAGCAAGATATAGCAGTGAAAATGTTTCAAACTAGCAGACACTTCAGCTGATATTGACTTTTTTTGTGGTGGGATTTATTTTGTATTTGTTTTGCTTACGCCCAAATCCACAGCACTACATTGCTGTGCTTCAGTCTGGTAGCTCATGTCTGCTTCTCTAAACTGGGGAAATAATTGTAATACACTGACTTTGGATAAGTACCTCATACAACCCCATTTCAAAACATCCGAACTAACCCTTTTATGACGTGTGTAATTTGCAGTCCTATGGACATCATTGTGATTCACAGCAGCATTTTTTTGACATAGCTAACTTTATGTATGGTCCCTGTGTCTGGTTGCAGTCATCCATGTGGCCTGGAGAAAAGAATGCATTGTGCTGATGGCTCAGGAAGTAGTGTCTAGCTTTCAATGTGGATCAATGACCATCGCCTTGAGACACAGACACCATTCTATTTGGGATGATAGCTTGGGGAAAAACAAGGTGGGGAAGGTAATACAAAATAGAAACCCAGGCAGGCGCTGTCATGGGAATAACATCTAAATTGATTCCTGCACCATGCTCATGTTAACATTTCATTCCTGCATCAGGGTTTGCTATACTGGCTACTTAGATTGAAAACAGGTGTTCTGCCCTCTTGGCGTGTTTGTGTGTCTCTTTGCTTGTTGCTAGGTTATGGTGATTCTCTAAACAGCGTAGGTTGCTTTGAGTTAAATACATTTAGGGACTGGAAAGGGTATTTCACACCAAACTCTGGTTTCATAGCCGCTACTCGGCTTGCAAAACAATTACAGGTCACACACGATTGTCTCTGTAGCTTATGCAAGGAAACGCCTGCCTGTTCTTGGCACTGTATGGAGTGCAAGCACGGCACTTAGATTTCACCTACCTAAGTGAAATGATAGTGTTGAATCTAAATGAGGCATGCTCGGCCCTCCAGGGTAGCTCTGTCTCCTCCTGGTCCAAAGACGCTGTCCTTCACATCCCTGCTTGCCCTTGTGCCTGTCATTTGCATAGCAGAGAAGGGAGCAGCTCATTGGCTGAGGGTGGAATTTGGAAAAGCAGCTCCATCCTGCGCCCATTAGGCAATCACCTTTACCCCAGACTAAAGCTGTTTCTAACTCTACTGCATCTGTTTGTTTGTATGCCAAAGTAGGTCATTAAGTCTCAACAACTTAAACTGGAAATCATGTAGTAGTTTCATAGTGGATCGGATGGTAACTAGTGTGACCAAATGTGTTATATTATTAAGCTAGTGATACCATTTCAGGGGGTTATTAAGGTAACACTTTTGGTTGAAAATGTATTTCAGAATAAATTGCAAATGTATTTCAGAATAAATTGCAAATGTATTTCAGAATAAATTGACTATTAAGTGCAGGTATCTTAGAGAGTGAAAGCGAGATTCTGCATGAACTCACTGGCATGGCCAAACTTTTCAGCCAGTGTGTAGGCAGGACAAATGCCCTAGCTTTCCTTTCCATGGTTCAAACTTTAGATAAGTTCACGGCATCATACTGTGTGTGTGGGCAGGTTTGGACTGACAGCACAGTGCTTTGTCTCTGGCAGGAAGCCTGAAGGCCAGGCTGCTGTTATGCACTCTCCATACAAACTTGGACAGACAACATATCATCTGACCTCCATGAAAAATAAAAAAATGAAAAAGTGTAAAAACATTCTGTACTGGTAAACTCACATGTACCCGAGAAAAAGTACTAATGTACAAATAGTAGAAAATATGTTTTGCAACAAGGTGATATTTTAAATATAGTTTGAAAGAACAGTATTTCACTTGTGTATGTAAAAACCTTGATGACTGAACATGACATAAGCCAAGGCAATAGTAAGACATAAAGGGGTATTTTCCTTTAGTTTTGTAGGCATATTACATTGCACTGGGGTCAGTACATGTATATATACACAAGACATTTTACGTAAGTGCTTTTCAAGCCTGCGTTGTGTTGGCCCAATTCTAATAACAGCAGACTGCTCACACCGTCTGTGGTGACCACAGAGGCTTTATATCCCCTGTGTGCCTCCATGGAAAGATCATGAAAACAAATGAATGAATGTTGTACAGTTGGAAGCTGGAACAAGACTAAATTCATCTATCTGATTAAAATATACTGCTTGTACACTCCCCTCAGGCTCGAAGCAATGTACTATTAGCTTCTCTCTCTAGATGATTCATTTAAAAATCCAGCTCTCTGTCATTCAAACCAAAAGTGGAACAGAATACAGAGTCCGTGTGATGACGTCCATCCGGTTGTGTGGAGACAATGCTATAAAAAAAGCAAGTTTAAAGGGGATATATTAGGGTCTTTTTCATGTTTATACTTTGGAATTTCCACTTGAATATGTTTAGATGCTTTAATGTTAAAAAAAGCTCTTTATTTTTCACATACTTCCTGCTCTGTTTTAGCCTCTATGTTTATGAAAAAGCCCAGTTGCTATACTTGGCTTACAATAAAAATATAGCACAGTTTTGCACATATGCCCTTGCCTTTGATGTAGTTGTGTGTGCTATAGACTGATCATCTGACAGAGGAAGGGAAGCCAACACTTAATGCCTTGTTGAATCCCATATTTTAAATATAAACACACATGGACTTTTATTTCCCAGTCTGTTGGATGCCCTTCAGATACCCAAATGTGTACAAGCACTGAAAAAGGACATTTTCATGCCATGTCCCCTTTAAGGGAGTCTGTGGCGTCACTGATGTCCCTGGTGGGGTCTGGTTGCTACACTTTTGGTTGACACATGAGGGTAAATAAGGTGAGGAAAGCAGGAGGGAAATAAATTGTCATTATGGCGGCTGCTGACAATCATGGACTGCCAAGTCATTTCGCTGACAAGTGTGTTGGTGGTTGCCGGTCATGCCGCAGTGTCATGGGACCATGGCAGTGATGTATTGTGTACCCATCAGTGTGTGTGATAATTTGTCACAAACAATGCCGTTTCAGCAGGGCACTGGTGTGTTTCACTGTGTTAAGTTACAGTCTGTTGAGAAAGAGTATAGCTGCAGGCTGCTTTGTATTCGTTTTTCTTTATGTCAATGCAGTCTTGAAAGTATCACATGATCATCCTGAACTTGCAAGTTAGCTTTTTAGCTGTAATTGAGTATAATGACATTATGCCCTATATACAACATAATTAATCACAAATGTCCCCTAAAATCAGTCTGACTCATTCATTTTCGGGCCATTGAACAGCTTTCATTGAGAAGAAGCTTGAGTGTCATGATGCTCCTAGTTGTCCAGCTCCAGTGGAAGTTAATTGTAAAGGCGACATTTACAGTGACTCGTATTCATAACGACTATAATTATAGAACGTAGAAGCCACAACAGGTAAGGAGGGTGCCCTTTCCACAAATTATAGTTTGCTACAAAATGAATTGGATAAAGTGCAAAGACAGGAAGTGGTGTCAAAGAGGAGTGGAGGCTCCTACTAAAAGCTCTTAAAGCCAACCAAGCATTTCACTTCTAAAAAGGGGGAGAGTTTGTGTTATACTTCAGATACCCTTGGAAGTTACTTATGTAAGTTTTATAAACAACACATTCTGACGCCTTCTGCACACGTCTTGGCGGTATGAAACAGGTTGTCCTTGCTGTCAGGCGTTGATTAGCCGTCCGGCGTGATGTGGACATGGCTGCCTCTGTGTCTCGGTGGGAGGTCGGCAGGACTTGATGGATGTCTCTTTTGAGATTGCAGAGCCCCGCTGAGAGGGAGGAGGACCCTGCCCCTGTTATCTATTCATGCTGTGTTCCTTTCTACTCTGCCTAAAATGGAGCAGGACCTCCCTCCACAGCACGACTCCCATCATTTCTGGATAGAGCTAAGGAGTGCATAAAAGAGAAAAATAAAAAAGGCACCTCTTCCATTCTTGATCCCTGAGCACCTTTCAAGCAAAAATCCACTTAGTACTTACATAAGTAGAAAGGCAGAAATCCCTTGATTTTCTACACAAGCACTGAAATTGAGGATAATCTTCGCAGTGCGACGTTTGCAAGTCTCTCTGTACCCTCTCTAAAAATACATACAGAAGCAGACACATACACACACACTTCATTTACAGCAACAAAAAAGCACCCAGTGACACTTTCCTAAACACACACACACACTCATTCCCCAACTCATTTTCTTTTGCACCAGCTCAATAAGACTGCAGGACAGTGAATCCTATTAGATATGAGAAAACAAAGAAGGGAACGGCTCATTGAGGAGGAAAAAACACGCTCTCGCTCCCACCCTTTGCATATTCCTTCACGATTCTGGCGAGACCGCTGGGAGATTGATGTGTCTGTCTTTTTCATACCTTCTGTGACTGCTCAGCGAGGCGCCGGGCTCCACGAGACTAGCCAAATTCCTGAATGATGAATGTACACTGGTGCGTCCACTGGGAGAAGAAACACATTTCATATCAGCCGAGAGAAGAGTTTGATATTGAATATCATCAGGAATTTCGCCTGCGACAATATTGGAAATCTTTATTCTAATTGCATGGATGAATTGAATATGCTGTTCTGATAAGTCCTCTGTGCCACAAAGGGACTTGTATAAATGAAGCATCGCATATTTGTTTGTGTGTTTACTGCATGTGAGTGTTTGTCTGCCCGTAAGTCATTTTCACACTCGCCTTGTGCTGTTGATGATTGCCTGTTTAGTCAAGCAAAAACTCACCACAATGTTAACATATCATATAAATGAAACTCTGACAAGATCTTCCACCCGCATATTACCACATATCAAATTGTCATACGAGGCACATTTTTCAAGATATTAGTTTTATGAAGGAAAGGGAGACAGCATATCAGTATAGAAAACCATTTTTATTTCTCATAAGGCTGTCCTGTAATGTACTTGTATATCTACTGGGGGTTATCTGTATGTTTCTCCATTGTGGCTTATACTTTCTCACTGTCATTTTTAATAAATCATCTCTCTCTGGTGTGTGAGAGGGAGATCCACACAACACATTTAGTCGAGCATTTGCCCATGACAACCTTCCACAGCTGAAAAATACACTAACTGTCTGATTATGGTCAGAGTTGTTCTGCTGCTGTTCTACGTCCCTTCTGGATCTGAGGGCTCAGGGGTTGTTGTTAGTGCAGCTTTCTTTTGAGAGGCAGTTCTATACAGTGTTTTCCTCATCTTTACAGAAACTACAAGCATTAACTGGCTTAACCAAGGACATTGCTGTATGACAAAAGCTTACCTTTATGACTCTGTTGAGGCTTTTTTCCAAAGCGAGCGTTAACTGCAAAGCAGTCCTTTACACAACAGCCTCTGGATGAACAATACTTATATTCTGATCAATATTCCACCAAGGGGCTCCTAATAGAGTCTTAAATATATTTTTCAGCTTCTTGGATCTGGTATCTTATATGTGATGTATTTATATATGTATATATACACAAATTATCTTACATACAAAGAAAAGAGGTGCTCATGAATTTACAACGGACATGCCCACCATTTCAAGTCAAAATGTCCATGTGGGGCTTTAAGCCTCTCAGAGATTCTTCTTTAACTCATAATACGCTGCTGGTCTCCTTCACTGATAGTCCAGTGTTTTTCAACCACGTCCTGCTCGAAGAGTGGGTCAAATACGAACGCATCCCACACAGAAGGAAAAGGATACCAAGGTATTTTCATCCGCTTGCTCTCAGTTCTGTGGAGCCCATGTTCAGGTCCATGTAAACTCACAAACTGATTTACCTTCAGGAGGGGCAAATGTCTTCAAATGATGTTTTAACAACCTCTAAATAACCCCAGCTAAGCTCTTTCAGTTTTTGAGGGGGAAACGGGTGAGGGAAACAGAAAGAGAGTAGGTCAAAAACTGGCCACAGCTGTGAGGAAGAGGAGAGTCACCAACATGGGGCTCATTGATCAAACAAGGGATTAGTCTGGTTTCAAATCCTTGGCACCACGCAAGCAAAGCTGTTTTATCTGGGTGGATATCCTTTCTGTGGTCCCAGGTAATCCAGTCAGTAGCCGTGGATGTAATAGTTTTAGTCCGTTTGGTGGGAAGAGAAAGGGTAGATGAAGGAAAGAGCCTGGCACGCAGCCCTGCAGTGGGAGCGCTCTGTTAGGTCCTGGGATGAATCTGCAACACAGAGGAGGAAGAGGAGAGGAGAGAAAACACACATACACTTAGATAGAACAAAGGAATACAAGTGTGCGAGGATTAGACCCTGGGGAATTGCTCCGTTCGCGTTTTTCAAAAACAAGGGGGAGTCTTTTGAACTGTGGAGGCTTTAAAAGCCCCGTCTCACCTCCCGGTTCCTACTAAAAACAGTGCTGAAATAGAGGTGGGCTTGGCATTTATAGGTAGAATGGGAAATATCATGAAAGCTCTTGGTACAAAACAACCTCAGTGTGTTTCCATGCTGTGCAGTGGCGGACTTACGCTTTCCAAGAGGCAAAAAACATAAAAAGGGCACCAGTTGCAGGTGGCGGAGCACCAGAGTACTTTCCTAGAGGGTAGAGAAGCCGACATGGAACTGCATCATGTTTTCTATGCTTTTGGGCCATCCTACATGGCACTTCATCAAACTTTTTCTACTCAATAGAATCTATAAAACTATAAAAGGCACCTTAAAGGGGATTTGATCTCTAATTGAGGGGCACTTCATGTTTTCCGTTCGACTGGAAAGATACCCTGAAGGGAGACTTATGACTTCTTTTCTACCGGAAGTCAACCTAAAGCACACTTCATTACATTTACTTCACTGAAGTGGCACCTTAAAGGGGGACTTTAACATGTGTTTTCTACTGGAAGGGCACTCTCAAGGACACTTAATAAAAGTTTCTCTCCTGTTAGGTCAATATTGCGGGTAGTTTATCCCATTTTCTCTACTACAAAGGTGCGTCAAAGAGCAGTTTATCATGCGTTCTCAACTTGAAGGGCATCCTAGAGGGCACTTCATAATGTTTTTAGGGCATCCAAGAGGGCACTTTTGCAATCTTTAAAAAATGGGCCGGTTTGCTCGCTACCCCTCTCCCTTAACCAACCAGTATGTCTGCTTTGTACACAATTAGATTTTTGACTGTATCTCGGACCATTTTAGCAACATCCCCAACGTCCCCCACCCTCCTTGGTTTGCACCTTCAAAACAAGCTAGCCAATCACAGCTGAGGATTTCCCTCCAATTTGACAAAATGACTTTGGCTTTGCTAAGTGGGATCAGGGCTCCTGCTGTGGAGTCTGAGCCTTTTCTGTGCCTCTGGTTCAGGGACTCTTATTGAGCCTCAGTTGCAGACCCGGGCACATTTCAATGGTACATTGTGCAACCTTGAGACTGCCATTGAATGTACTGCTTTTTCTGCATCCTGCTCAACCTTAAGCTCTCATCTATAAACCATGTGCATGATGTCTACAACAGTCGAGGTCCCTGCCCTTTCATGAACATGTATTCAGCGAAAGCATGTATATTTCTATTCCTCACTTTCATCATATTTTCGAGTTATATTACTGCTTTGAAAATGAACAGTAAAGACATCTGAAGTTCCCTGCACACTGTGGGGCTAATTAAAAATCCCATAATCCTGTTTAAATAAGAAATACAGCCATGACATTTCCAGCAGGCTTGGCAGGTGGTCGCCAGGTGTGTGGATCTGATTTTGAATGGTGCTGCTTGGCTGTAGCACACAGAGCATCTCAGGGCGACAATATGTTGAACATGCTGGCAAGAGAGCTAAAATGATTTCATTGATCATTTTCTGTACATGGATTTATGTGCACATGTATTTAACGACACTGTGTGTGTTGTTTTAAGAAGCTGCTTCATAGAACTATCAGAGAAGCATTAGACTTTATAATTTAGGGTATATTTAGAAGAAATGTAGGGAATGTCAAGTATGAGGTGGCTATGGCTCAGGGGGGAACATTTCACCGATCTACCAATCAGCGTGTCAGTGGTTTGAGCCCCTGCAGTCAATATGCTGGAGTATCCTTGGGCAAGATACCCAGCCTCAAACTGCTACCATAGGCAAGTCTGTGGTATTGTGGGTTAGTCACTTTGTATGAAGGCTTTAGCTAAATAACATGTGAGGTCATGTATGTCTCAAAACATCATGATTTGGATTTATCTGTTTGGGAGTTTGATTTGACAGAATAATTTGATACACTTTGGTTTTCACTTCTCTCACTAGTTGTTTAAAGAAAATCCACTTACACCAAGAATAGAGAAATATGCGATCAGTCCCATGTGTTAGCCAAACAATGTAAAGACATTGGACGTCTTTGTAAAGGTTTAAGTTCGGTCTAGTATAAAAGTACTTGTGTTATTGTTTTGGTACAGATTCAGACATTTGACCATTTTCACACGGACTTATGCAATTTTTGGATTTTGAAATGTGTCCTTTAAGATTTTCTCGTACTTAAATAAACACATTCACAGGGTTGCACCCCCTTCAAAGTACTTCAATTTGTCTGAGGGTTACGAATGCTAGAGTGCAACACCATTGGCAGATTCTTTTTTTGAAGACGACTTGTTAAGACAGATGTAAAAATAAGCTCTCTCTCACAGCCTCATCTTATGGAAACACTTAGCAGCACTGTCCCTTGCTGACAACATCATTCCTATTTAGGAAGTTGCACAGCAGCTGTTCCTCTGTGTGCTCTAAAAAGCTTCACAGCCTCAGATTTAACATGCTGATTTCACCTCAGGTCTTTTCACAGTGTCTTTCTTTCCCCCTATGATCCTTAAACACAGTAATCTTACAGGCTCATCTGTCCAGCATTTGCTTCTGTATCATCTACTGATGTAGCAGTGAGTGACCTCTGTCAGAACAAGAGCAGTAACAGGTTACACATTACCCGCTCTCTTTTTCAGACACTATCCACCAGAGGTTTGTTAGTGGGAGAAAAAGGGTTGTATGCAAATTCTGTCATTTCAGCCCAGATGCATGTGTGTGTGTGTGTGACTAAAAGTGTCCTCTGTTCTTTTTTGTCCTCTGTCGCTTCAAATGAACCGGGCAGCAGGTAGCAGCGGATTGCTTAAGGATTTCCTGCCTATCCCATCTTAGCTGGCAACTAAGCCGTCTGCATTCTAATTTGCTGGCCGCATTAAATTGCAATTTACTCAGACTTCAGTTAGTAAAAGGAGCCAAGGACAATTGCCTTAGCGAAAGAATTTAGTGCAAACACAGCCTACCCTTTTCCCCTTTCTTGTTTAGTGCTGAACAAATCAATCATGCAAGCTGAGAAACCTCTTCAAACTGCACTAAAACACACCGTGTACAAACAGAAGACAACAAAACACATCAAGATCCATTTAATGTGACATTGACAATGGAAAAAGAAAAAGTGTATGACATAATCAGTATCACCCCCCCTTCCCTAAATCCGTATAAAATGTAATAAGGATGACAATCTGGCCATTCCTCAGTTCGGACTGCCTTTGTCAGCTCATAACTTAATACAGGGCTGAAGCTGGAGAGGTGTTGTCAAGCACACTGATGGAACAGATGATTTCTCGGTGACGTTGAACTGTGTGTGGCATGGCCGCTCGGAGTTCATTTTGATCAAGTGCCGTCTCCCGATCTGACAAATGAGATGGTGATGCGTCTGCTGGCAGGTCTCTTTTGCTCTGAAACTGTCTCACAGATGGGCTACATTCTGTCACAGTGTGCTATTTAGCTTGAAAAAGTGCCCTCCGCTCTTTTCAATAGGAGACACATAGGTGTCTGAACAGCAGGTAAATCATGTTGGACCAGTTAAATAGGTAGCACAGTGCAAAGCGTGAAAAATGACGGTGCATCCACTTGAATTCAACACTTAACACTTACTTAAATGAAAAATGATATACTCCACGGTAGAAAGGCTGTGGCCTATTACATTACATGGGTTATATATCAGTGTAAGATAACTTAAAATAACCCATTAAAATTAATTGAGTACCTGATGAAGGCCGTTTTAAGTATGTATGACATTCCTGCCTTGATACTGAATACATTTTCTATTTAACACATCAAATGAGCGTGATTTCGCTCACTCTCATCAAAAGCAGAATGAATGGGGAAAAAAGCCTTTTCATTACTGCCCCATTAATTCTGCCTGTCTTTCTGAAGGTGTATCATTGTTTTGAAAGGAGCAGAAATGGATTGATCTATGTAGCGAGTGGATTGGGTAAGGTAGATCTAATGTGGGCGAGTGTTTCCGGAAGGTGCTCCCTATGTCTCGCTCTCACTGGGACTTCCACAAACAAAAGGGCCTGCCTTGTATGCTGCTACAGAACAGGCATTGAAGGGCTCTCTCTGAAGGACATGAGGAAAAGAAAATGAAGAAACACGGGTGTGAGCATCTGGCTTGGTTTCGGCTTCTTCGTTTTTCTGCCAATTTTCTTTAACGCAAGATGGCGATGAAATCTGTTTTCTGGTTAACATGTGTATGTGCCTTATTTTGCCTGACTGACATTTTTCGGAGCAAAATGGAAACTTGCAGATCAAATAAAATGGCTGAGAATAAAAAAAAAATGCTGTGTTGTGGGTTTGCTGGCTTGTGACGGAACAAATACAAACGAGGTGATTTGGTCTGAGGCAGGTGAATGAGGAATGTTGATTAAAAAAGAGCGCAGGATAAAAGGCCTTTCATGTAGCCTGTGGGCTATGCTGTGTGCTGATAGCTGCTTCAACAAGAGCCTCAGAGGGGGATCAGGATATCAAGTGGACTCTGATATGAAGAAACACAACCGAAAAGGGAAGAGGCCTTGCCCGGGGGTCTCGCACACATTTGGAGCGCACACGAACACAGACATATCAAACACATGAAAACACGTGCGTTCATACACAACTACGAGCACACACAGAGAGGAGCAAGTAGCATGTCACAGATTAGCGACTAATGGGATTGGCAGAGAGGTGTAAGGCACTGTAATCAAGCCCACACAGTGGCCGATAGCAAAAACAGGACATGGAACAAAGAGGTGATGAAAGGATGTGCGACTGATCCTGCCATTACAATATTCACAAACAGCAGGGTTCTGCTGAGGGGCGGACTTGGCTCTGTGTGTGTGTTTCTCCAGTTTTCCAGGAGTGTGTTGCCACCGTACATGCACGCTTACTGACTGATATAGTGCACCGTTTATGTGAAAATGCAGCAACTTACTTTTTATTTATGCGTGCACTGCCGGCGCTGGGTGATAAATATTTACAGTGGGTGGCGGTGCATTCAGTATTTGTGTCACGCCTGCCTAATCATGCACAGCATGTAAACACACACTTGATTATTTCGCACTGAGTATTTGGGTTAATGAGAAGTCATTGAACATGAGTTGGTCCCCACTCCCCTTGCATTACAGTGATGTGTGAGAGAGGCGGGAAAACAAAAAAAAACATGGAACAGCTTGAGAGAAAGACTAACCTTTACAGAAGCAAGAATGCAGCTCAATTTCTGTTGACCCATCCTCTGCATTTTGCTTCCGGAAGCTAAAAAGGGGAGTATGGCTGGGTATTCTGCAAAGAGAGGGTCAAGAAAAGAAGGACACGTGTGTATTGGGTAGAAAAAGCAACTGACCTTTAGGCCCTCTTCTCTTTAAGGTTTTAATAACGTTAGACCAAAGCCATAAACTCATAAATATAAATATTCCTCCTCCTCCAGAAATGTACAGGCTTGATTGATGTACGTCAACAAAACTCTGTTAAATAAAGACAATCATATTTGACTTAATTCAGATTGTGCAAAGGACTGAATTGAGAATTGGAGATGCATTCTTTAAAGCGAACCAAGCACTACGCCTTACCTCGACGGGATGGCATTAGATCAACGATCGGAACATTTTGGTGGCTGAACGGGTCCAGTGAAAGCTTTATGTTTATTTGATGACGTATAAATCTGCAGATCAACCTTGGGAAGCCCCGTGTGGTCTAACCTTCACTGGCTGTGCCCTCTTTCCCTACAATCTCATAAGTCTCTGCTTCTATTCAAAGTCACCACGCACTAAGAGAAGACGGGGGTCCGCTGGGGTGGGGAGTTAATTAAATGAATACAAATCGGGTGATCAACCTGTCACAGAGTGCTGGACTGCTGGCTTCGAGGACTTAACTCCCTTCATTACTTTTGCATGCCGCATTCGGAGTCAGTTTACAGAGCCGAAAGGCAGTGAGAGGCAGAGTGGCAGTTAACTTTATCTCCAAGAGGAGTGTGGCCCGAGGCAGAGCCCACCTGTTTGTTTACTGCCTGCTTTATGTTTGTTCTTTACTACTATGGGCCCATTAGATAGGTTGGAGACACTGAAAAGAGTCCACCTTATTACGCAGAGGGCAAAGGATGCTTTCTGAGAAGTGTGACACCTCCCACAGCTTTGACACTGTGCATGTTTGCATTTTGAATGGCAGACGATTAATTAAGAATTAAGCAGGCAGTTGGCAGAAAAGCTTTGTTAAAGCATTACACAAAGTATTGGTGGTATTTCTAGTGATTTCCTCATTTCAGGGCCATGAATGAAGGTTGATAAGTCAAGTGAAATCTGTCTGGCACTGTGTGAAAATGAGTGCTGTGGATTCTTTAAAGTGTTTTAAGTGTATGTGTGCCTGCATTAATTGTGCATATATAGTACATACGAAATAGGCATTAGCTTGTGTTGTACGTGTGCATCTGTGCGTGCAGGTAGATGCATTTGTGCTCAAGTGTGTGTGAGGTCTCACTCTTGTGGTCTTGATTTTGTTCCCAGAGGAGCACATCCATCCAGAGTTGTCGGGCAGAGTCTTACACTCTTCTCCCTCCAGACACGGCTCCATCTCGCACCACCACTTCCCAATTACAATGGATGCTGGGGAAGAGGAGCACAAACACACATCAGGTCAGTTTATCATACACACACATTCAGAAACAATATGTATGCGCACATAGATGCCAAAGAAGAAGATAAATAGCACATACAGTAGATAAAAAAAGAAACAACTTGAAGCACAAAAGTCATAATTTACTGAAAATGTAATACAAATATAACTTAAAGGTGGGGTAGGTAAGTTTGAGAAACCGGCTCGAGATACACTTTTTGTTATATTCCATGGAATGCTCTTAACATCCCGATAGCAATGAATATTTTAAGTGCTTTGACAAAAAATCCATAAAAAAATGTCATCTGTGGAAGCCGTAGTACTGTAAAAAGCACGACCAATCATTTTAGCCGGCCCGGCTAAAGTAACTGGATGGCCTACCTGCCTGTCAGCCTTCCATCTGTGCACAAACTTATCTCGTGCCCTCATTGGTCATGTGCGCGTTCGTGTGTGTTGGAGGAGGGGCTCTGTAAGGAAGTGGCAGATTTTTTCCGGCTGTGTATTTTCAAATTCTAGCGATCTCGAGCCGGTTTCTCCAAAATTACCTACCCTACCTTTAAGCGGATTGAAAATGTAATACAACTATAAAATGTATTAACTTACAACAATAGTGTAATAAAATGTCCTGACTGGTATTGGAACACAAAATGTTTATATATTAATTTAAAAGCAATAATAATTCAGGCTGTCTTCTTTTTTCTTTAAAAACTAATCATTTAATCAAATTGGAGGAAAAAGATGACCCTCTCAAAAGTATGTTTTTTATCCTCAGAAATGCTAACTGTGCAAGTATAGAAGATGTATAGGCCTTATATTGTTAGTGTACTGCATTATCCATATCAAAAATGCTATTCCAGTGTTAGTATATTAGTGAATTATAAGTTAAGCTATTGGGTTTGATTACATTCTCTATCAGTATAAGAGCAAATTGCACCAAATTGTAGGGACATTATTACACTATTGGGTGCTAGAGAAGCTTAAATGAGCATTTAAAGCAAACATAATAGTAATTATTATGCACAATTTAAAATGTTAAGAGTAAGTGGAGTTTAAAATGCTGGCAGAATCAACACAAAAAGTTGAACGAATTGAACGAAAGCGTCCTACGCAAACACACTACAGTAGATATTCTTCACCCACACACTGTATTTATGAGCAGCTCCAGCTCTAAATGGATGTTTTTCCTCCTCTTCGGCCTCAGAGCAATTGTATCGTACTTTTCCTGTTGACAATAATGTCTTATACCAACAGAAATTAATCATTATTTTGTTTTGAAATGGCTACATTGCATGTAGGGGAGCAATCTCATTTTTAATCAAAACTAATTGCTTCTCATTAACATCCACTGAATTCTTCCTCGAGCCATCTGACAAAAACAAATATGTTCTCATTTTCTCATCAAGTATCTCTCCCTCCTTTCCTCTTGCACTATATGCATGTCTCAGGGTGAACACAATGCGAGACTGTGTGTAAAAATGAAATATGTTACAGGTGTTTGATGATAGGAAAAAACACCTTTCAGTCTTCCCTTAGGAAAGGTTCTGTACATGGTGTAGATTCAAGTACAAATAAAAACTTCATGCAACCATGTTATACAAATTAATTAGCACTGTATATTAATCATGATGATTTCTTCTTCTTTGACATCCAATGTGACGCAATTTACAGAATCCCTATCAACAAAGCTAAAAAGCAAAGTTTCATGAAGATGTTAGATGTTAAATCCAGATTTCTCGCTGTGGGAACTTTCTTTGAATTGAATCACAGCACAAACACTTTTTTTGAAAGTCAAGTTTTATTTTATTTATTAACCACGATGTGTGAAGAACTGTATTGTTTTCCCAACAGCCAGACGTCTCTGACAGCAAACGTGAGAAGTTCAAAGCCGTTTCTAAAACGATAAGTCACCTTTTCAAACCAAAACTAAACTCTCAGCATGTATATGCTTTTTAAAACTTCCTTTCATCATGTTGACATATAGGAGGATATAAGGATAAATGTCTTGCAGGATACAATTTCTTGAACCATTTGGAGAAAAAAATATTTTCCCCTCCAGCCTGTGTTGCCAAGGTTACAGGCCAACCACCAATCAATTGTGAGTATGAGCACCATGCCGTCTCCAACTGATGAAAGAAAAGATGGTTAAAGTGCAGTCCCTGGCAGCGCAGAGTGACACACAGCACACACACACACACACACACACACACACACACACACACACACACACACACACACACACACACACACACACACACACACACACACACACACACACACACACACACACACACACACACACACACACACACACACACACACACACACACACACACACACACACACACACACACACACACACACACACACACACACACACACACACACACACACACACACACACACACACACACACACACACACACACACACACACACACACACACACACACACACACACACACACACACACACACACACACACACACACACACACACACACACACACACAGAACTTGCAGCATTTCCTGTCTACCTCCTTCACTTTTCCCTCCATGAGCCCCGAGGATACTCAGCGGCAGAAAGAGAGCATCCACTAACAGGCTGTGAACCGGCCCTCTGGCTCCACCCATGGCTGTTTACCTTACCCACTAATTACCACATGTTGGTCCATCATCCACACTGCGCTCCCCGTTCTCCTGATTTTTCATGCATGCGCTAAATATGCATTTCACATCATTAATGGTGTTTGCATTCAGCTGTGGTTTATCTGCAACACCACAACTACGCAGGAAGGCCTTGTTAAGTGGCGAACGGCCTCGAGGAGATGTGTTTAACCACTTCCACCGAGTGAGGATGATGTGCTGCGACACCGCCGCGGCCCCCTTCTTTTATAGTAAAGGGTGACAATGGAGAATATTTGTGTCATCATACCTCACATCAAAGAGGATTCAACAATGTGAATGCAGAATACTCTTGAAATGGAAAATGGTGAAGTTATACCTGCAAACATTGATTTTCTTCAAATGGAGCCAGGGAGAAAGCAGAGAGAGAGAGCAGGAGGAAGCAGAAAAGACGGGGGCCGCCTCACACGAGTGCCGCTTTGCATGAAAGTTGGATGATATTTACTGAACTGGATTCATCTCAGCCTCCCTGCCCTGAAATGTGTGAAGTTGAATGTAGATCATTTATACAAGGGGAAAAAGCCAGTGACGTTTTTCACACAATTTTTTCTTTCCTTCTTATTTTCTTTTTATAATAATAAATGTTAATTTCGAGTATGTTTTTAGATCAAATGAAGAGTCGCATATAGGTCATGATTATTGATCTTTATCGTTTGTTTTGACTGCCAATATGGTTCTGTTGGTTTTGCCATATGCCCATCTATCTTTCATGTAGTTAGCAGGGTTATAATGTCTATGAATGTTATTCAAGCCAATATCTTAAGATGGTTGCTCAGACGTTAGTGTCTAAAACCGTGTTGTTGAATCAAATCATGATGATGTGGACTTTTAAGATTTTTAACTTGGTAATTTCACTTCGCTGTGAATAAAACAGATTAAATATGTATAACTAGAATAATGTTTACATGTCTTAAAATAAATCTGGAGGGATAGTTGAATGCTAACAATTAAAACAGCAGCATTCATCATTATTTAAGTTGCCCAATTCAAACCTTAAATAAGATATGAGATTTTGAAAGTTGTCCAGAGATCGCTGCCTTCTTGGTGTCTTCATATTATTCCCACAAGATCAGAAATGAATAACCAGAGTCAGCCCAGCAATTTTAACTAAAGCAGGGCTGTTTTCAAAAAGAAAGCCTTACAGTTAATGTTATTCCACAGCACAGACATGATGATGTGCACCATATTTAAAAAATATTAATACCAGGACAGCTTGTACTAAAAGGATAGTAACATTTTAACGAGCACTGGCTATGAAATCCATCTTATAAATATTCATGTCCAAATTTGATCTTTGCCTTAAATACCGTTTCAGTCAGTCTATGTGGAATACAGCAGGCCCATCAAAGAAAACTTGACAACGCATTGTTAATGACATCTCTGCTCTGATAGCCCAGAGGATGAAAAAGCAGGAAAGGAGTCCAGATAAATGTTAAAACACTCTTCATGTCCGCGTCTGAACCCGGGCCAGGACATTTGGCTCTGACCTTGACCATTGGATAAGATCCATCTCTGGGCCGGGGTCCATGCATCACTCTCTGGTGACCACTGACCTCCAACAGTCATTTTATTTTAACTACTCCCAGTGCAATCGTCAGCATAGCCGCTTTAACCTTTGTTCTGACACCAGCAAACTTTACCCGCCCTCTGTGTCTTCCCGAGGAGAAAGAAAGGGTGACTGACAATTGACCACTGTTCCAACTAACCCTTTTGCGCCAACTATTCATTTTTCAGATCCATCTGTTTACAAGCTGCGAGCCTTTCATTTGATTTACCAACACCAATTAACAAGATCCTCACACGTTGCCATAAAAGTAGCCGCGGTGTACTGTCAAAGATGACAGATGGGCTTTGAATAATCAGCAAAGAGTGTTTGATTCAAGATGTTCGCCATGTAGCAGGCTGGAGTCTTTAACTTTGATAGACAAACAACCGAGAGTGGGACTTAAATTGATTGAAAAACATGAAGCGATGGACCTTTTACAAGTGCATCTGTCAGATCACTGGTGAGCGTGCACTGTGATGGATTGAACCGGCTGACACGTCCCTGCCAGGTAGCAGGATGGTTGAACACCTTGACGGATGAGGAAGTGAATTGATTTCCGTCCGTTTCAAAATGTGAATACGTGTGTGTCGGGCCGAATGAATAGTTAATGTTTCTTAACTTGGAGCGGCTTGCACATACTAAAAGCTTTCCAATGATGTCATACTGTAGTGAGTCGCTTAAAATCGGTCACCTTTAGCCAAGATATGAAACAGAAAGCAATTAGGCTTTTTCATGCCATTGTGTTTGGGTCAATTTACAGTAAA